GGTGGAGGACTGATAGTGGTTGAACACGCCCTTTGCGGAGGTGTACGTGACACTGGGGCCGGTGGGCCATGGGATCAGCAGCTCCTCGCAGTCGACGTAGCCCGCATCCGCCACGAGGAAGTAGCCAAAGACCCGCGCGACGCTCCGCATCACCTCGAAGAAGGAGGTGCTCCGGTACGCTGTCAAGTCTGGGTTGGCGCCGGGGATGCCAATCGCCGCCCAGGAGAAGGTCCGGTCGCTGTCTGCGATCGCCTGCACATTGATGCTCGCCTTGCCATTCTTGTTGATCCACCTGGCGCGGTTCACCTCTCGCCGGCGAGGAGGCTGCTTGATTAGCACCTCGCAAGGGAGGGGGCGGGGGATGAGAACGCGAGGGCGCGAACGCGCGCAGGCGCTAGTACCGATCAGGGCCGTGCGCACATGCACGCCGTCGAGAGCGCCGATGCACATGTCGATGCACCCCTGCGACGCCGCCCCAAAGGCGACCGTTCGCTCGTCAAGCTCATCCCTGCTCTGGCCGGCGAGCGCGGCCTCGAGACTCCGTCGAAGCGAGAAATGGAAGTGTCGGTTGATGGCGCGGATGACTGTCTTGTTGTGCTGGTAGAAGGTGGCCCTGGACTCGTACTTCCCCATGTATGTCTGGTCGATGTAGGAAGCACCACGGAGCCAGCGCAGCGTGAGAGCGAGCTTCTGCTCCGCCGGCACCAGCACCCCGCGGTAGCCGCCGCGAGGGGCGCCGTCGTCCGACAGCGATGGCGCGATGTCGTCTCGGAGGACCGTCAGAAGGTAGTCAAAGGTGTCGATATCGACTCCGAAGCAGCGCCGAAACTCGAAAGGAGTCAGATACTCGAGCTCAGCGGCGTGGTCCCACCGCGGGTTGGTGCGCATTTGCTGCCGCCGTGCTCGAGGCGCGGCTGCTGCTGCAGCCACTCGCTGCTCGGAGGCGCGTCGCGCGTCGCGAGCTTGCCGCCACGCGCGTATGGCACCCAGCAGAGCCGAGTCAACCGCCTCCTCTCCGCTGTCGGCGGCAGTCGGCGGCGCCGAGCCGCCCAGTAGCTCAATCCAGTCGGCGGCACCGTTCCCAGCAGCACACGCCGGCTCGGGCGATGCGAGGAGCACGCCGACCACCGCCAGCAGCGTGCGAGCGGCGAACGAGCGCGGCATGCGGCCACGGCAAGCGGCGCGCGTTGTTTTGCTCTGTCACGCTCAAAATTTTCCCACAGATGCAAGAGCAAAAACCCCGGCCCGCGTTTTCTGCCCGCCGGCTTCGACGTTGGTTTATTTCGCATCGGAGGGCTTCACAAACGTTCCTCTCGTCTCTCGCAGCCGCGATTTAGCTGATAAATTTGGAATCTTTCTTTGACAAGAACGGGCCCAGAGCGGTGTTTCCAGTGATGCACGCCCTGTGAGCGGGGCGGGGTGCGCACTGTGCCTCTGTGTTCGTGCGTCGCCCATCTCTCCTGGAGATGACCGCTCTATTTATTTATTATAGCGGTGTTTCCATCCCTTCCGGGTTCTGTTTTCTTTCTTTCTTTAGAGGTTTCGACACGATATCTTCTATTTCTCTAAAACCGTCGGTTACGGGACGACCGTTTAACCGGACGCACGTACAGCTTCCTGTGTTCCTGTGCCGCCTCCGCGCGCCAACGCCGCTTCGCCCTGCCCGTGTGGTTCCCGATGGGGCGCAACGAGGAGGCCGTCAAGGTGGTGGTCCGCTGCCGGCCGCTCAACTCGACGGAGCGCGCGGATGGGCGCGACACCATCGTCCAGATGGACGCCAAGATGGGGAGCGTCTCGGTGCACGCGCCAGGCAGCTCCGAGCCACCAAAGGCCTTCACCTTCGACATGGTGTTTGACGAGCGGTCGCAGCAGGCGGACCTGTACCAGAAGACCGCAATGCCCATCGTCGACTCCGTCCTCGACGGCTTCAACGGCACCATCTTTGCGTACGGCCAGACTGGCACCGGAAAGACATTCTCGATGGAGGGTGTCAACGAGCCGCCCGAGCTGCGCGGCATCATCCCGCGCGCCTTCACTCAGATCTTCGATCGCATCTCTTCTCGGGCCGGCGATTCGACCGAGTTCCTCGTGCGCGCCTCCTACCTGGAGATTTACAATGAGGAGGCGCGCTCGGCCAAACCCCCCTCCTACCCGAGTCTGCCACCAGCCCCCACCATCACCATCGCCACCGCCGCCGTCGCCGCCGCTGCTGCTGCCCGGCCACCACCCCCGCCCAGCCGCACAGGTGCGCGACCTCCTCGCGCGGAACGCGCTAAACAAGCTCGAGCTCAAGGAGGACCCGGTGCGACCGACTTGCAAGACACTTCCTGCTGTGTCCTCACCCGCCCAGCTCTGTGTCCTCACATACCGCGACTCCAACCTCTGTTTCCGCTCGCATTGCCCCTCTGATGCGTCCACGGCTCGCCCACAGAGCACGGGCGTCTACGTCAAGGACCTGACGTCGTATGTCGTCCGATCGGTCCGCGAGTGCGACAAGCTGCGCCACTTTGGGGCAGAGAACCGGCACGTCGGCGCGACCAAGATGAACGCCGACTCGTCGCGCTCGCACTCGATCTACACCATCACCGTCGAGCAGTGCGAGACTGACGCGCGCGGCGAGGCCCACATCCGGCAAGGCAAGCTCAACCTGGTCGACCTGGCTGGCTCAGAGCGGCAGGCCAAGACGGAGGCGAGCGGCGAGCGGCTCAAGGAAGCAACCAAGATCAACCTGTCGCTCTCGGCGCTCGGCAACTGCATCTCGGCCCTCGTCGACGGCAAGTCGAAGCACGTGCCCTTCCGCGACTCGAAGCTGACGCGGCTGCTGCAGGACTCGCTCGGAGGCAACACAAAGACGGTCATGGTGGCGAACATGGGGCCGGCCGACTGGAACTACGACGAGACGATCTCGACGCTGCGGTACGCCAACCGCGCCAAGAACATCAAGAACAAGCCCAAGATCAACGAGGACCCAAAGGACGCGATGCTGCGAGAGTTCCAGGAGGAAATTGCGCGGCTCAAGGCAGAGCTGGCGGCCGACGGCGGCGGCGCGGCGGGCGGTGGCGGCGGCGCGTCGGGCGGCGCGGCGGGCGGCGCGGCGGGCGGCGCGGCGGGGACGGTGGAGCGAGTGGTGGAGGTGGAGAAGGTGGTGGAGGTGGAGAAGGTGGTGGAGCGCGAGGTGGAGGTGGAGAGGGTGATTGAGGTGGAGAAGGAGGTGGAGGTGGAGGAGATTGTGCGCGTGGAGAGGCCGGTGGGCGTGTGCGCGGAGGAGGTGGAGCGGATGCAGCGGCAGCTGAGCACACAGGCGGAGCGCGAGAAGCAGGCGCTCCTTGATGAGGCGCTCAAGGCGCGCGAGGAGAAGGCGGGGCTCAACCGTGAGCTCGGCGAGGTGCAGCGAGGTGTGCTGAGACATGGCCGAGATGCAACCGAGATGCGGCCGAGATGCGGCCGAGATGCGATGCCGCTGAGGCATGGCGCGGACAGAGAGCAGCGTGATGCATCCGCCAGGAGACCCTCACACAGTTGAGCGTGCCATGGTTGCCTCACGCGATACGGATCTGACATAGGCATCCACCAGGAGAGGGACGCCATCGTTCGCGCGAGGCACCGGCTCAAGGAGCTCGAGGGCAAGCTCATCGTTGGCGGCGAGAACCTGCTCGACAAGTCGGAGAAGCAGGAGAGCCCCTCCCACCCTCCAGCAGTTGTTGAGCTCGTGCGTGCCTCACTGCCGCCCTCCCCATTCCCTCTGCAGGAAATGGAGAACCAGCGCCTCGCCGCCGAGCTCGAGCAGCGGCAGCAGCAGCAACAGGAGCTCCAGCGCGCAGTGGCGGCGGAGGAGGAGATGCGGCTCGGGCTCGAGGAGCAGTACGCCTCGCTCGAGGCAGAGGTCGAGGGCAAGACAAGGAAGCTCAAGCGGCTGTGGACAAAGTACCAGGCGGCGCAGGCGGACATATTGGATGTGCAGAAGGAGTTCCAGCGCGAGAAGGAGGACCTGCTCGACACGATCCGCGAGCTTAGCCGCCAACTCAAGCTGCGCCAGCTGCTGATGTCGGCTAGCATACCGATCGAGCAGCTCTCCAAGATTGAGCGCTGCTCCGAGTGGGACGACGCCAACGAGCAGTGGCGCATCTCACGGCTCCACTTTGCGGGCAACCCGTGCGCGCAGCGCGGTGATCGGCGACCGCCACCCGCGGGGTACGGGGGCGGACCGCTGCGCGCGCGGGCGGCGGCGGCGGGCGGCAAGCCGACACGCCCCTACAGCGCCGTCAAGGCGATGTCGAGCGTCTACTTTTCGTACAGCAATCCGGCGCCCTCGCCGGAGTACGATGGTGAGGTATCATAGATAGACGCGAGGCTGTTGCATTTGTCTCGCCGACTGTGATGGCCGGTGGCGGTTTCTCATGACTCGCACGTGCTATCAACGGAACTTCCGATATGGCAAAGGGGGGCGTGCGAGATCGTGGTACTGTGTCGCGTGCAAAAGTACCCAGAAACACCTTTCCGTTCACACCACCCTTTCCGTTCACACCGCCAGGACACAACCGTTACTGTAGTAAAACGAGATGCGTACGAGCCCCCCAAATGGCTTCCCTGTGGCTTCCCAAAGCGCTAAACCGGGAGATTGGGATGGTTATACACGCGCGCTCGCTCCGATAGCTGAAACCGGGAGATTGTCACTGGGGATGGTTATACACACTTGCACACACCCCACACACGTGTGCGCGCGCCCGCCCGCGCCCGCCCAGCCGGCCTCCGCCGCCCGACGCCGAGACCTCGCCCCACGCCCCACGCCCGCAGGTGCGCAGCTCCGAGATGTGCCTCATCCTATCAGGGCGCTGGCACACGGTGACACAGGCGTGCGAGAAAAACAAACTGAAGACACTGACAACAAACTGAAGACACTGACAACGCACTGTGGCACACACTCTCTCCACTCTCGCGCACGCGCACACGCACGCACGCAGCCGCAGAGCGACACAGCTGACAGCAGCCACAAAGCCAACTCAGGGCGGCTCTTCGTCCTCCTCGAGCAGCAGCTGGAAGGAGCGGAGGAAGGGTGCGCCCAGCGCGAGCGCCTGCTCAACGCCAAAGTGATCCTCCCCCTGCACGTTCGGATCGTCGCGCTCCATCCCCTCGCCGAATCGGCCCGCCTGCTCTGGCAGCATGCCAAGCTGCAGCGCCGCGACCAGTCTCCGCAGCTCCTCCCGCGTCAGCTCCTGCAGCGTCTCTCCGCCGCCGTCGGCTGTCGAGCGCGGTAGCAGAAACTCTCCCAACTCGTCCTCGTCGAGCGCGCCGTCCCCGTCGCCATCATGCCACTCGAAGCGCTGTGCGTCCTCCGCAGCAAGCCCCTCGTCCTCGCCCTCGTCCTCCGCCGTATCCTCGCCTCGCAACCGCTGCCGCCACCCATAAAGCTCCCGCCTCGTCAGTCGCCCGTCCGCGTCCGCGTCGTGCGCGGCGCGGACGCGCTCGCGCAGAAAGGCGCGGAAGGCGTCGGCGCGCCCCGACCACTCTGGGAAGAGCAACGCGTGCAGCTCAGACGGCGCGACCTGCCCGTCCGCGTCGACGTCGGCGAAGGCGAAGAGGTCTGGCCGCTCGACCTGGTCCGCGTGGTGGACGTACAGGCGTCCGGCCTCAAACTCAGGGAGCGAGAGGGTCCCATCGTCGTCCGCGTCGGCGGCGCCCAGCAGCGCGTGGGTCTCGTAGGTGGTGGACGCGCGGACAGACTCGAAGTAGCTGCGCGCCTGCGACTCGAGCGCCGCCTGCAGCTCCGCCACGTCGAGTCGTCCGTCGCGGCTCACGTCAAGCCGCTCGAAGAGCGCGCGCACCGTGGCAGGATCCGCCTCAACCTCATCGATATCGTCCCACGCCAGGTCGGAATCCATCTCGTCCCATGCCAACTCGTCCTCAGCCGATTCGGTGTTAAAATTGGCGTCGGTGGAGTCAACGGTCGCGGCCGAATTGTCGGAACGTCCCGAACAGAGGAGAAGCGCGACCGCGAGCGTGCGCAGTGTCATCAAGCGCCGGGCGCCACGAGTGGCGTCCGGGCAAAAGAATTTTCGGCACACTCGCACGAAACCGGGCAAAGAATTCGACAAGCCGTCTAAGGAGACTAGGCACGGGACGAGAATCGGCGAGGGACTGCGAAGGGAGATAGAAAGAGGCAGACGACCAAGGGTTGGGTGGGCGACGGCTAGCACCACAACACTCCTCTCCTTAAAATCCCTGTGTGGTGGCGGCGTGCCGTCCTCCCATCCCTCCCTTGGGGTGTTTTCTTTCTTTCGTGCGAGAGACTTTTTTCGAAAAATTTTTCTTTCTTTTTAGGCACGGGACGGCGCGTACGCACCACTCCTAACACCCCAGCAAAGAATTTCAAGGGGATCCAGCCCTCGTTGTGCGTATTTGCTTTCTTTCGTTCTTTCTTTCTTTCTTTTGCACTTTGCAAGATTCTTTCTTTTGAAGGGAGTCCACAAAAAGAAACGCTGCTACGTCTCGTTCCCGTTCTACCTGTGTGAGAACGAAGAGCCTCGCGAAAAGAACTTCAGATGGTGTCAAGTGTGATGGTTGCGGGGAGATGAAGCAAGCTTGGAAGACGCGCACACGTGTCGTTTTCTGTAATTTCTGAGAGCCTCTCAAATGCTGGAGTTGACGAAGTTGATCAAACAGAAGTGAGAAGAACGGGCTCTCTCTCGGCTACGGGACCGGCCCCAGCTTCGGCCGAGGGCTGACAACCTGCCGAGCCCAAATCACTTTCAGAGTCGTGATTTCTTGTTGGTTTTCTAAAGTCTCTCTCTCAAACAGAGGCTTTGGGCGCCGACGCCTCCGCCCCTCCCTGCGTGCGCGTCTTCTCCTTTGCGCGCATCGTCTCGAGCTGCCGAACCAGCTCCACCGGCTGGGGCATCCGACCGGTGGCAAGCTTATAAAAATGCAACCCAACTCCTATACGCCTAAGTATGTTTTCACATTTCCTGTGTTCAAAGCTGTGAACGGTGTTCACAAGTACATAGTCTAAAGTTAAGTTCCGTTGCCAATATTCCCATGTGAACGGTCCTCGCGGGCACGGACGCTGCGGGCGCGGGCGCGGGGGTGGAGGAGGCGCTCAATTGCTGGGAGGAGGAGGCGTACGAAGCGGAGACGCTGGAGACGCTCGCCGAGTTCGGCGATTGAGCGCCTCCCTCTCTCTCCGGCTGCGCGCATGACCGGTGCGGCCTCCGAGTGGGCGTCTAGCGCGCGCGATAAGGTTTTTGCTAGCCTTCCCTGGGAACCCGTGTTGCATGTCTGACTGTCACTGTGCGATTTCGGGGCCCGGGGTTGTGCGTTTATGTGAACGGCGTTCATAATCATATCACGCCTCAAGAAGAGGCGGCAACATCTGGGCGCCAAGAAGCGTCGTGAGAGCGCGGCAACAGCTTTTTCAGCACTGATTCCCAATGGGCCGCGGCGGCGAAGCCTGCGAAGTCGGGTGCACGGCCGTCATCGAGCGCACGTCCGCCCCCGCCCACACCGACGCCGACGTCGTGTCTCTCCGCTGCGACTCCACCGGCCGCACCGCGCCGGTCGAGCCGCCCGATTCGCTCGACGCTCTGCTCTCTGCAGCAGCAGCCCTGCTCGGGTCGACGGTCCACGACGCGGCGTTCGCGTCGAGCGGAGAACCGCTCACCGATCTCGCCTCCTGCGCCAACGGCGAGCGGATTCGGCTCTTAACCACGCCGTCGGTGACCGCGCCGCCGGCGCCGGCCGCCGATGAGTGCGCCGATGCGAAGCCGTCTACGCCTCTCCGCTCCTCGGCGCCGGAGTTTGTGTACGCGCGGCTGCCCCCGCTCCCTCAAGGCCCGCCTCCGTCGACGCTGCCGGGCGGCTACCCGCCGCCGCCCGTCGCGGGCCCGCCGCTCCCGCCCCTCGGCCTCTCTCCTCTCGCCATGCCGATGGGTGCGTACACTCGCCTCGGCCGCCTTGCGAAGGGTGCGTGCGCACGCCCGGTGAGACGTGTCGCCCGGTGGCTGATGTAGGGGTGCCGCTCCAAGACATGCACGCTCCGCCCGGCTCGCCCGGCGCCTGCCTGCCCGGCTCTCCGATGCTCGGCGAGCAACGGCTGAGGGGCCAGGGGCCTCTCGGCGACGAGAACCTTCTCGGAACCTTCTCGGAACCTTCGCCTATAGGGCCCGGCTCTCCGATGCTCGGCCCGTGCGGCTCGCCACTCGTCCCGGCGCATCTCCTGTCCCCGTTGCTCTCCCCGCTCGCCTCCCCCATGCTCTGCCCCCCTCCCTTCTACGCCGACTACCCGCAGTACGACTACCCGCCGCAGCACGACTACCCGCCGCACGAGTGGCAGGTGAAGGAGCGAGCGAGTGAGATTGAGGAGTCCACTGCCCGCCGCATGACCACCCGTCCACGATTCGCAGGTGGCTCCGGCCATGGAGCAGCTCCTCCCTGCCCCCGAGCCGCCCGCGCAGTGGCCGATCTCGCCCGAGGCGTCTGCCCGCCGCAGCGAGGAGGAGCGCGCCCCCCTCTCCTCTCGCGGCCTCGGGAGAGTACGACGATACGAGGGAGTGAATCAATGAGCCGTTGGTGGGGCGAGTAGGAGCACATCCTCGCGGCCTCGTGGGTGCGCGAGAACGAGCGCGCGTGGCGCATGTCGCAGGCGCCGCCGCCTGCTGCCCCCCCGGCGCAGCACACACTGTACAGAGGCCTTGCATGCCGCGGCTCATGCAACACACGCGCGTCTCGGCCGCTCTCGAGTGTGGTAGAGAAGCCCTGGCCCGCACCGCACCCAACACCTCCTTTAACCGCATTGCGGTGCTGCAGGCGCCGCCTCCTCCGCCGCTGCCCGCGAGTTCCCTCGGCCACCACGCCAGCTACCTCCGGTCGCCGCGCGGGCCCGTCGGCGGCAAGGGGGCGAGATCTAGCCGAGATGCAGCCGAGATATAGCCGAGATCTGGTCGAGAAGCAGCCGAGATGTAGCCGAGATAAGCCGAGATGAGGCGGCCGTGCTCAAGTCGCTCACAAGGCTAGAGCCGCGAGAGATAGCCGAGAGCCGTGATACAGCCGAGATCCCTCCAGACCGTTCCCAATCTTTCCTGGAACCTTCCTGTAGGCGCCGCCCTCGCCTCTGGGGGTGGCGAGGCAGCCGAGCAGGCCCAGGCCGCCGACGAGAAAAGAGCAGCAGAAGGCGAGCGACCGCTTCGCGAGGCAAGCGATGCAGCAGCAGTTTGCTGCGCAGCAGCAGCGCCTGCTGCAGTATGCGCAGCAGCAGCAGCAGCAGCAGCAGCAGCAGCAGCAGCAGCAGCAGCAGCAGCAGCAGCAGCAGCAGCAGCAGCAGCAGCAGCAGACCGCCACGCCGCGCGGAGGGTGGATGCCGGCGGTGCCGCCGATCATCAGCGGAGGAGACTCGCCCCCCGCCGGCGGCGGGGAGACGTACAAAGGCGCCGCCCGAGGGCACGCCAGCCCGCGGCCCTTAGTTTCTCATTAACGGAATGGCTCATTACTGATTAGGCGCCGCCCGAGGGCACGCCAGCCCGCGGCCCTTAGTTTCTTATTAACGGAATGGCTCACTACTGATTAGGCGCCGCCCGAGGGCACGCCAGCCCGCCGCCAAAGAGCGAGGCGGCGGCGGCGGCGGACGGCGGCGACGGCGCGGTGACGGTGGCGCGGCCGCGCCGCCGCCCGAAGAAGTTGCGCGAGGTGCCCGTGCTGCAGGTTCGAAGGCTAGTGTAGTGTGGCCGCGTAATGAAGGACTAGTGCGTGGCTGAGGTCTTGAAGAGAGAAGGAGTCCATGTCTGGAGCGAGGTGCCCCTCTCTGCCCTGCGCAGGCGAAGCTGTACAAGACCAAGCCGTGCCGCCGCTGGCTCGTCCAGACCCCGCGGCAGCTCCGCAAGGGGACGAGTCCGTCGATCAAGTGAGGTGTCGTTGGTGTGCTTCAGGCACATCCAGACCCCGGGCAGCTGCAAGATGGGTCCGGCCTGCTTCTTCTCGCACGGGGAGGGCGACGTGTCCAGCGAGGGGGCGCCCATCCCGGTGACCCGAGATGGCCCGAGAGGACCCGAGAGATGACTCGAGATGAGAGGCCGAGGATGAGACACGTGTCCAGCAATCTCCCGGTGATGGAACGCCCCCGCGTTCCCCGCCCGCTCTCTGGCCCACCCACCCCTTCGCTGCACCTCCCCTGCACCACCCCTGCATCACCCCTGCACCTCCCCGGAGCCCCGCTCGACCTCACCCCTCTGCGCCTGGCCAGGTGCCCGACTGGCTGCTCGAGCAGCTGGACCGCGAGGGCATCAAGGTGACGGGCGAAAGCGACTCCAATCAATTGAGTCGTTAGCGTGTGAGTTGTTCTCATTGAGATGATGGCAGGTGACGGACGAGGTCTACTCCTCCTCCCCGAGCAAGGCGCGGCACGGAAGACACTCACCCACCCCCCACCCCCCTCCCGATCTTCGTTCATTCATAAGGGACCAATGATGAGAGCAGGTTGCGGACGCGGTGCTCGACCTGTCCGTCTGCCAGCCCGCCGGCCGGCCTCCCCGCGGGCAGCTCGTCGCGCTGGCTCAGCTCTCCCCTCCGCGCGGGCAGCTGGCGCCGCTGGTTGCGGAGGCGAGATCTAGCGGAGATGTGCAGCCGAGATGCAGCCGAGATGCAGACGAGGTGCAGCCGAGATGCAGACGAGGTCTAGACGAGACACAGCTGGTTGCGGCGGCGAGAGAGAGAGAGAGAGGACAGCTCCGGACATGCCCTCGGGCGTGTGTTTATCCTGCCTGTGCTGCGCGTGTGCTGCGTACAGGCGAAGCGCAATTCATCATCAATTAGTGATCATTGATTAGGCGAAGCGGCAGCAGGCGCTCAAGTCGAGCGAGAAGGCGGCGGAGGAGAAGAAGCGCGGGTCGATGCGGTGACCCCCCCCCCCCTTCCGTACCCCCTCCATACACCCCCTTTTACCCATATCCCCCCTCGGCTGTCCCCTCGCTTTCTCTCGCCCACTCTCCACACAGCGCTAGCGTGAGACGACTGCCCCTCGGCTCACCTTCTCCACAGTGCTGGCACTTTCGTCAGCGTGACACGATTGCGCCTCTCCCAGGGCGAGTTCCGAGAAGGTTCCGAGAAGGCTGCGTGACACGCCTGCGCCTCTCCCAGGCGCAAGCTCGTGTGGGGGGACGAGGAGGCGCCGCAGCCGACGGGAGGCAGCGCTGGCGCCGGAGTCGCAGCACTCCTTCTCGGAACCGTCTCGGAACCTTCTCGGAACTCTCCCTGGATAGACAAGCTGGCGCCGACCGCTGCGGGCGCCGACGCGACTCGCCTGAGCGCCTGAGGGCAGCGGTGCCACGACTTGCGACCGCCGCCGCGCGAACGCGCAGCGAGACAATTGTAGAGCGATCGTCGAACATCGCGTGTGCCGCCAGAGAGGCTCGTGCTGGTGTTTGCGCTATGCTCGTGCGGCGACCTCTCGCTCTGCGTGTGTAGAGGGACAGTCCTGAACTCGAGACGCAAGGGGGGCACGCCCGGATATGTCTCTGACTTTCTCTCTTGTGGAGAGAGCAATGACCAATGTGGCGTACTGTGTGTGTGTTGAACCTCTTGTCTCTCCGTCCGGGCCCACGAGGGGCCTAGTTCGCCCTCTAGCTGCAAATTGCCGTAGTATGAAATGTTATGCAGATGCCAGGAGTGGTGAGTGGATGATCCTGGGCGCCCCGTTGTCCCTTGAGCCTTGTCGGCGCATGTTCCGTTTTTCGCGCGCCAGTCCCGTGCCCAGTCTCGTGGTTGTAAAATTCTAAAAAGCGCCGGCTTTCGAACCTCGGCGCCCGCCCTCTTTCTGGCCGCGTCCCTCCCCTGTCCTCTCGACTGCACTCCTCTTTTACATACATAAATAAATAAATAGAGCAGTCATCTCCAGGGAGAGATGGGCGACGCACACGAACACAGAGGGACAGTGCGCACCCCGCCCCGCTCGCAGGGCGTGCATCACACAGGTGGAAACAGGTAAAATTCTTTTCGTGCACTCACTTTAAAATTCTTTTCGTGCGGAGAGCTCCAACTTCTCGGCGCGAGCGCCCGCCGCGGCTCTTGCGACGCTCGGTTCTCGTGATGTGCCCCCCACCACGCAGGAAGAAGAAGAAGAAGAAGGCATACGCGCGCGTCGCAGACCCCGACGGGGGTGATATTGAGGTCGCCGAGGAAGAGGCAGACGATCTTGATGTCGCGATCGAGGAAGGCAAACTCGTTGGTGATCGCGCCCTGCCACCAGCGCATGCAGTGCTGTGCCGCCTGCGCCTGGCAGCACTGGCGGTGCTGCTGCTGCTAGTGGTGGTGCCACTGAAACTGGTTTCCTGGGCGGCGTCCGGCGCCAGCGCAGCGCCCGCCGTGGACCAGCAGCAGGCGGACACGATGCCGGTGCCCTTGGCGCCGCCGCTGCCGCCGCCATCACCGCCAACGCCGCCGCCTCCTCCGTGCGGGTATCCCGGCAAAAGTCTGTCCGCTCTGTCCCCGCCTCGGTGGTGCTACCATCTGGACGGGAACGCCACCGCCTGTCATCTCGCATTTGTCGACTCACCTAGCAGCTCTGGAACGCTCAGCAGGCGATGCACCTACGCAGCTGGAAGGTGCAAGCTGAGCAGCGGCGAAGGTGTCCTCTGCCCATCACCTCCGAGCTCGCCGCCGCCCCCTGCTTCACCGCCACCATTGCCATCGCCACCGCCACCGCCTCCGTTTCAGCCGCCGCAGATTTGGACGCGACATGCGGGCAAAAATTGCTTTTGGGATGGCAATGGCGCAATCATCGACCTGGACCCAACACCAGCCCCCGGTGTTGCGAGCCTCGAGGAATGCAAGAGTCTGTGCGTGGCGACGCTTCTTTGTGAGGGGCTACTCTTTTCAAATCAAGGTCAGTGCTATCGCAAGGGCGACGTCCAGGTCGGCCGGTGTCGGACGGACAGGCGATTTGATCTGTACGTGTATGTGCTCGCCTCGCCGCCCTCGCCGCCCCTGCCGCCCTTTCCGCCAGACAGTGAAGCGGTGCGCGCCATCAATCAGCGCTTCCGGTCCGGCGGGCCGAGCGACAAGCTGACAGAGGTTGGAATTCTGCTCCATCAGTGGGACGGCCTCGAGGCGAACGACGAGATGCGGCCGTATAAAATGTGCGTCGAGAAGTGCACCACCCTCGGGAGAGAGATGTCGGGACGCGTCTCTGCGATGGCCGTGTACCAGGGGCTCAAAGACCGCCCGGATCGGGTCGGCATACCGCTTCCCTTTGGAAACCGTGGCGGCCTCGTCCTCGACGGGGCGCACGTTACTCTCGAATGCCTGTTTGGCATCGACGGCGCGTCATACATGTCCGACGATGCGAGGCGGCCCGGCTGCACTCGCACGTTTTGCGATCGCGCACAGATGCAGGTCCCCAACGTCGGGCTTTGTGGCTTCGCCGGCTACCCGCCTCAGGCGTGGGGACCGGCCGACCTCAAGCTTGTCCTCGAGACGCACAGAGGGCACGGCGCGCCCTACACGGCGCCCGCGTTCCACTCGGGCTACAACGAGCTAGTCCTGAATGCGCGCAAGCTTAACGAGCAGCTGCCGCACGCGGTCAGCGCCTTCTTCCTCCTCAGAGGGAGGGGAGGGGAGTATGAAGGCGAGGTGACTGACGACCTCGATCGCGGCGTGGTGATTGATGTCGTCCGCGCGCACCGGGCGTTTCTCGCCGAGTACCATTTGACCGCGGATGAGGTTCCTCTCCTCGTGCTAGACCCGATGAACTGGGAGAGGCCCTTCACGCCCTACGTGAGCTGACGCCTTATACCCAAACCAAAAATCTAACACGAATCATTTCACATTTGGTAAAAATCTCTCTCTCTTGTCTTATTAGAGGGAGAGGACCGTGAGTTGAGGAAATCGGAGGACGCGACCCACTTCGCCACAGACGGTCCCGCGCCTCGCCGCTATGACGGGTAGACGACCGCGGCTCGTGTGCGTCTACCCGTCTTTGTCCGGAGTGAATACTCCAACGCGCTCGTCGGTGGCGGCTTCCTCCAACCTGCGCCGCGCTCGGCGAACCTCGACAGCGCCATCGGCGGCATGCAGCTCTTTGCGCCTGAAGCTTGGAGAGCAGCTCCTCTGCTGCTCACACACTCTGCACAGTTGACGCAGCCTACTGTGCGGCTGCCACAGCTGTGACAGCGATGGGCTCGCCCTCACTGGCCCTCAGTCACTTGTGCTGCGGCTTGTGTGAGCGACACTGCTCGGCGACTGCCGGCACACTGTGATACCATGGGTGTGAGGTTAAACCACGCTACCAGCGCTTGGTCACATCGGCCCCGAGGTCAGATCCTTCTACTCTGTTGATGACAAGACTTGTCTACTGGCTGGAGCCGAGCAGGAGAGCCCAGCGCACAACCCCTGGTCAACTCAGGGTCCACACCCGTATAGGGTCTATAGTGTATAGAGCGCTCGCGCGCTCTATCCCTCTCTAAATCGATCTCTTATACGAGTAGTACCCACGGCCACGCTTGAGCACAAAACTTGCGCGGATTTTTCTCAGGACTCAGCCGGCAGACCCCGCGCGGAGGAGATGCTCGACTGCTTCGAGTGGGGGGAGCCGCCGGCCGAGTGCGCGGCGGCGGTCGAGCACTTGCGCGCAGCCATCGCCGAGGGCGACGCGCGCTTGGACGTGCAGCGGCGGCGGCTGCTGCTGCGCTTCTTCACGGGCCTCAACGCGCTGCCTGTCAACGGGCTCTCGCGCAAGGTGAGCTTCAACTTCCTCGACAAGCCGGGCGTGCCGCTGCCCGAGCCGCACACATGCACGCACGAGCTCGACTTGCCGGCGTACAGCAGCCGGGCCGAGCGCTGGAAAAGCTGCTAGTGGCGCTCGACTCGTTCGAGGCGGACCCGAGCTTTGGCCAGGTCGCCAGGAGTGATGGCTCGAGTGCAGCGAGAGGCATGTACAATGAACGAGTGTATGTGTAGTTGTAGCATCGGGATGCATGAGCATGTGCGCCCCGACGCTATAGCTAGCCAAGAGGCGCTGTATGGGTCTGTACACCGATCGAGAGAGAGGAGAGAGAGAATACGTTTTCCGGTTCGATCACCCCACACAATATACACCCATCTACAGAGAGTGACTAGGGTCTATAGCCGCGCACAGGGAGAGCTGGTGCTGCAGTGCAACCGAACTCTCATGCCGGTCATGGTCGTGCACGACCCGACGGTGCCCGGGGTGCCTCGGCGGGTCGGCGATCGCCGATCGGCGTGTGATCCGTGTGTGCGTGTGTGTGTCTCGTGGCCCTCCGCCTTTTCATCTGCCACACAATACTGTAGTTGTCCGTTTTTACAGATTACACAGCGCGCGCGGTCACCGAAAAAGCGCATCGTCACAACATCAAGCAAGCTCACAAAACTCAAACGCAGGATTCGGGGTGCCTCGGGCGGCCGCTGCGCGCGCATACGGAATGGTGGCTAATGACACACTCGATCGCGGCTCGGCCCGCGTCGCGTCGCTGCCGCCCCCCGCGCCTAGTTCTTTCGCCGCTCGTCGCCCGCGACCGCCGCTGGCGTCGGCTCGTGCGGCGGCGAGACGGGGATCGAGGAGGGAGCGGCGCCCCAGATGTTGTGCGGGTCGGCGTGGGTGCCGGAGAAGAGGGTGGCGTTCGAGACCACGCGCGCCTGGCGGGGAGGCGGAGGAGAGGTGAGTGATGGGGGGGGGGGGGAGAAGGGCGATGGGCGGGGAACGGCGGGCCACATCCCTGCTGCATCTCTGTGCTGCATCTGTGTGATTCATCTCGGGCGGTCGCGTGTCCTTCATCCCCAAGGTGGGGCTGGGTGACCTCGGGTGACCTCGGGTGACCTCGTGTGATCTCGGGTGATCTCGCACCCCCGAGGTTGGGCTTGGCTGGCCGAGCCCGCTGCCGCCCACGGTGCCGCTCGGCAGCATGAGGTCTGGCAGAGAGCCAAAGAGGCCGGCGAGGTGCGAGGCGGTGAACTCCGCAGAGGCGGAGAGGCGAGGGCCGCCGCCGGGCGCCGCGTCGGCGGCCCACGGGGCTGCGGAGGGAGGGGAGGAGGGGAAGGAGGGGGGAGGTTAGGGATAGGGTGTGGGGTGCGGATAGAGGACGGAGAGGCAGGCAGTGAGACGGCGGCAAGGCGCGGGTCTGGGCTTGCACCCGAATCGCCGCTGACCGGCGGCAGCGACGGCAGGTTGAGGGGTGTCCAGCCGCCGGCCGAGCCGATTGCTCCGAGGGAAGCGCGACCCTCGCCCGACGAGTTGTCGTCCCGCAGCTCGGCGGGCAGCAGCGACTCGAGCCCGACCTGCAGCCGCCGCAAGTGGCCAGAGCGTGAGGGACCAACCGCCGCCCCGCGCGCGTTGGGTGCAGCGGCAACGGTGAGGGGGGGGGGGGGGGGGGGCGTCGAAGTGCGTGTATACTCGCCTTGGGCACCGCCGCCGCGGCTGCCGCCGCCGCCTGCCCTTCGCGCGCCGCGCCCGCCGCGCCGTGGCGCAGCCGCTCCTCCTCGATTTGCTGCTGCAGCTTTTGGGAGCCGCCCAAGTCGAAGAACCCGGACGAGCCTACGCGGCGGCGGGGAGGGTGTGAGGCCCGCCTGCAGGGGCGGCGTGGGCGGGCGGCGGAAGGGGCCGGAGGAACCGCGGGTGGTGGTGCCTCCGCCCGGGGACGAGATGGGAGACGACCACTCGCACTCCTACTCCTCACACACCGCACCACTGAGCCGTGGACCAGCCGCCGTCCCGCGGGAGACCCGAGCGGCGGAAGGGCGAAGCCGCTCGCGCCTCGCTCAGCGACGGCGGCAGCGCCCACCCCTCGTCCTCGTCGTCGCCGTCCATCCCCTTGAGCGCCGCGCCGACCGCCACCTATCAGGAATTCATCACCATCACTGCTCACTGCACATTCGTCGCCGAGCGCCGCGCCGGCCGCCACCGCCATCGACGCGGAGACGCCAGCCGGCTCGCCCTCGAGCCTACTCGCTCGTGCACCCTCTCTCACTCACGCCTCGACCCGGACGGGCGGGGCTCGCCCACCCCCTCGCGCCTCGCAGCCTCCCTCGCAGCCTCCCTCCTCGCAGCCTCGGGGGACTGCCTCGCCGACCACAGCGCCGCGCCGCCGCCGCCGCCGCCGCCGCCGCCGCTTCGCGCCCCGCCCCGCCCCGCCCGCCCGAAAGGAGGGCTCGGGCTGCGCGGCGGAGGGGTGCGAGGCTTGCCCGCAACAGACCCCGCAACCGGCGCGGGCTGGGCGGGGGCGGAGGCCTTGGGCGCGCCGCCGTCCGCCGCCGTCCCGTCGGAGCCACCTCCCCCCCCGCCCCCCCCCCCTCCCGGGCTGCCCACCGAGCTGCCTCGGCTCGAGCGCGGGTTCCGTCTCTCGACGCCGCCGCCCCCCAAACGGCCTGCCGGGGGCCCGCCCCTCGCCCCTCCCGACGCCGCGGAGGGCAGCTGGGAGGGCGCGGACACCGCCGCCGCCGCCGCCGCAGCAGCGGCGGCGATGGTGAGAGCGGCGAGCTGCGGCGGCGCCTCTGGCCGCTCCGTCCCCGCAGCCTCTGTCGCAGCCTCTGTCGCCTCCTCCTCCGCCGGCGGCCGTGGCGCGGCGGCGTCGGGGGCGACGCGCTGTTGGTGCAGTGGCGTGGCGGCGGGGTGGGATGATGGGGCGGAGGGCGGGGAGGTGCCACCGCCGACGTAGCCCTGGGCCGCACAAGTGTCCACCGCCGCGCCTCCTCTTCCTCCGCTTTGAGGCACCTCCTCCTCGGCCGCGGCTGCGGTGGCTGCGGCGGCTGCGGCGGCCGCGGTGGCTGCGGTGGCCGATGGCAGCGTCGTCGACGCGGCGCGGGGCTCCGCTGCCGCCGCCGCGCCGCGGTCGCAGGCCGCGGGCACTGCGCTCGCGGCAGGAGGCCGCTCGGCAGGCGGCCGCTGCTGTTCGGCGGCGCGCGCGGTGTGGTGCGTGGTCTCGGCGGCAGGCGAGGCGTGGCGCGCGGCCTTGTCGGAGCCAGCTTTAGCGGCGGGCTTGTTCGAGCGGCGGCTCGTCGGCCTGCGCGGCCCCGCGCCCTCCGCCGCCGCCTCGCTCTGCGACGATCGCGCCGAAGAGGCCGAGGAGCGCGCCGAGCCCGAGGGGCGCGACGAGGCCGCGGGAGCCCCCGACTCTGAAGGCGGCGCTGGCGTGGCGGCGGGCCCCGCCAGCGCAAGGGCCGCCTCCTTGGCGGCGGCGGCGGCGCGCTGCAGCAGCGCCGCCGCGGCGGACGGCTTGCCGCGGCCCTCTTGCAGCTTGAGGCTGAGGTGGACGATGCGCGCGGCGCAGTAGGTGACGAGGACGAGGCAGACGGCGGTGAGGAGTGAGCGGGTCGTCAGCAGCGGGCGGGACCGCTCGTAGGTTCGCAGCGCGGAGAGGCAGCGCGGAAGCATGTGCTGCCGCAGCCGCGCCTCGAGCGGGAAGGTGACCGTCCCCGTCGAGGAGTGAACCTCGAGCTCCGCCGTCGCAAGCTCGGACCGAAAGTCAGCCTCGTAGACCACGTCGAGGCGGCGGAGGCTGCCTGGCGCCAGGCTGAAGGAAGAGGCGCATTCGGCGACTGAGAAGCCGCCGTGCGAGCAGGACCCCTGCCGCGCCGGGCTGCCCGCGGGCTGGACAGACATCCAGTCGACGCGCAGGTTGAGGTTGCCGCGGTTGGTCAGCGTGAAGGACTTGACAAAGACGTGCGGCAGCGGCGTCGTCGACTCACCGCCCGCGGCGAGGGCCTGCAGCTTGCTCTCGGCCCCGGCAAGCTCCTCGGACGAAAGCGTCACGCGCAGCACGCCCTCGTCATCCTCCGCCGTGCCGATTGGATCGCCGCGCTCGGCCTTTGCGGCGGACGCCTCGGAGAGCACCGCCAGCCGGCCGCCTCCGCCGTCGCCGACGATGAGAACCTCGTCGAGCCAAGTCAGGTTCGAGCGGAGGTAGACCGTCGACCGGACGGCGCCAAGCCGGGTGGGCGAGAACCGGATCGAGCCGATGCGCGCCTCGCCGCCGGGAGGGATGAGGTGCAGCTTTGGCGGCGCCTCCTGGGGCGTCCTGCCGAGCGGCCAGCTGTCCTGCCACTTGTCCGCCGGCCTCTTGGGCAGCCCGAAGGCCGCGTGGTGCGCCGAGGCAACCTTGATCGCCTGCACTGAGTCCCTATGGCCGCGCTTGAGTACCCACTCCTCCTGCTCCGCCTCCGCCTGCTCCGCCTGCTCCTCCGTCGGCAGCAGCAGCTCCACCCACACGGGCGACGCCGCGCGGTTGCGCACGTCGATGGAGCAAGTCGAGGAGGAGCCGACGTGGACAGCGCCGCACGCTAGCACGGGCGACGCGACGATCTGGGGCCACGCGACCGTCGCGCGGGCCGTGAGGCTGGCGGGGGCGAGGTCCGTCTCCACATGGAGCCGCTGGTGCAGGTCGGTGCCGGCACGCGCCTTGAGAAGAGCCCACTGCTGCCGCCGGTTCCGCAGCGCCTCCAACTCGGCCGCCTCGAGCGGCATGTGCACCGGCGACTCGCTCCACTCCTCGTACCGGCGCGTCAGCCGCGCGTTCAGGGACGGCGGCCCCGAGGTGAGCCGGTGAACACCGTCTCCGCCGAGGGTGGGGTCAAAGATCAGCTCTCCAACCTGTGCACGAGCCCTTGCTAGTTAGAGCGCGCGCTGAACTTGAGAGCAGGGCCGGGGCTCGGCGCCCCAACCTTTGCCCGCCCGCCCGGCGGCACCGACACGTTGAGCGAGCGGATGACGAAACGCGGGTCGGGCGAAGTGATGGCCGCGACGGTGACGGGCTGCGTGTAGAAGGACTGCGCCGTGAGCAGCTTGCGCACCACGACGCCAGGGAAGGCGAGGCCGACGCGGACGACGGCGGGCACGAAGGAGAGGTTCCCTTGGACCGTCTCGTACGAGAGAGGGAGGAGGAGCTTCTCGTAGTTTGTGTGGAGCTCGAGGCTGCCCTCCTTCCTCTCGGCGACCGTCGAGAGCGACGTGTTGACCTGCTCACACTTACCGCGGTGTATTCACGCGCGCCTCACCGCCTCCTCGTGCCACGGCGACGCGCTGACCTCGACGCGCAGGAACGCGCTCGAGCCTGGCTCGAGCAGCAGCAGCGGCACCGGCCCTCCCGCGGATCCGAGGGAGGAGGAGCCGCCAGGCGAGGGCTGCTCCGCGCCGGCAGACGGGCGCAGCGCGCTCCCGCCCTCCAAGCCGGCCCCGAGGACGACGGAGCCGTGCAGCGCCGCCGGAGGCGTGCCGTGCTGGTCGCGGACGTCGTCGAGCACCACGCGGACGGCGGCGGTGCCTAACGCAGTGCGCTGACCCGTCCCTAGAAAAGTGGCCGGTCGCAGAGCGGCGCACGGGCGGCGCCCGCGCCGAAGCCGCGGAGGAAGCAGCCGCGGAGGGAGACGGAGACGGGCGTCGGGTTGACGAGCTGCAGGTGGCGCACGCGCGAGGAGCCGAGGCCGAGCCGCTCGAAGTCGATC